TATTACGTCCTGCAGACGCAGATTCTTTTCTTTCGAGAGAATCGGCTCCGCCGCAACTACGATTGGCGCCCGCGAGACGCGAGCAGGAGTCCCCTTATAAAAACTGAAAAACAGACCACACAGGCTCCGCAAAAAACTCGTAAAAACGCCAATCAACCCGGAAAAATAACAACACTAAGAAAGGCCTAAAAGGGACGAGATTGCGAAAAACATCATAAATGGACCTAAGTCACGCGATAATAAAAATTCAAGCTGTTATCCGAGTTGTTGACCAACAATTTCATCTTAAGAAAAACAGGCGCCGCGTCGCCATAAAAATCATAAGAAACATGAGATAACTTCTCACGGCTGTTTACTTAACCATATTTCTTCACGAGGATGAAGGAATCCGCCACTCACTTAAAGCAATCTTGCTCCTTTTAGAGAAAACATAAATCATTCCTTTTGTTCTCTAAACCCCTTTTTTCAATGCACTTTAAATTAACAACGATAGGACGTTTTAAAAATCATAAATCTCGCGCGACTTTGCAATTAACTATTGCATTCTAGACAAAGGACACTACGCCCTTTTTTCGGAGTATAAATAGAGGCCCCGTAGAAGCGCAGAGTCAGTCAAAATTTCAAACTAGCCGAATCCACGTCGGGAGTACGCAACAATAACACAATTCAACTCGCGTCAGTTCGCGAAATAGTACGTTGTTCGAGTGCTCTGCCGATCCCTAGGGTTCATCGAGACCACCCACCCGCCAACTGCTATCCTTGGCTGCTCTTGCGTGGACGCTGAAACCGATTCTCTTGCCGAACGAACATCTCACGCATCACCACGAGTAAGTCCATCCAGCCTACAATTACACACACTCCCACCCCCCTTTTTTCTTTCGTATCAACGCGCACGCGACTATATCCACACTATATAATTAAGTTGGGGATTAAAATCCTATTTTAATCCCTAACTTAATTATATAGTGCGGTCTCACTCTTACAAAACCAAACGGGGACGAACTCCCTATGTCCGGCGGAGTTTGCGAAATCGTCCGGCGTTGGATAACCAAACGCCGCTAGTACAGGTCTGCCGTCCTACGGTAATAGTCACGCCGCAACCTGCCGAAACCGTACCACCCCGAGTACCAACACCACTGGCTGACACCACCATAACTTACACACCAATACCCACCTACACTAACAGACGCACACCTCTTAATCTTACCATTCCTCCTCCTCTCAATCCTGGAGTCCAAGAAACCTTGGACTACTCTCCTTCCCCAATTGAGAGAGAGGAAGGATTGTCTTCCCTTTTTAACCAGCTCCCAACTCCCTCTTTCCCTTTTGATCAACTCCCAACTGCCCCTCTCCCTTTTGATCAACTCCCAACTCCCCCTCTCCCTTTTGATCAACTCCCAACTCCCCCTCCTATCCATCCTGATCCCCAATCCATCGATTGGGATCGGATCTTTCGACTACTCTCATCCTCCTCCAACGAAGGGGATAGAGTAGTCACAGTGTATATCCCAGGGAATTCCTCCCCCTTCCTCGTCCAACTCAAGCCCATCTCGTCCCAGCCTGCTCATGGACCACCTTCTTTGCAACTAATACACAATAATCACCCTCTCCTCTCTTACACGCACACACACAACACACACACACACGCACGCACGCACGCACGCACGCACACACAAATATTGTAATGACAAAAAAATGCATACATGCTCGCTCACAATTTCGCTACTAAAGAATTACTGTAAAAAAAAACATAATTTTAATTAACCATGTAAATTAGTTTTAATTCTTTTTTTTCCGAATAAACATAAGTTTTGATTTCATACAAAATCTCTCTAACAAGTCGCATTTAATTTTTAAATCGCCCCACTAATATCCCATTCCCTATAACGCCTGAGATCGCACGACGTCTAATCCCAGGTCAAAAGGATTAAATTCCTTGACCTAAAAAGTAGGACCGACGTTCGCACTGTCCATTGAAACAGGTGTCATAGCGTCCCTTCAGGACGTTGACCCACACTCCGGGACTTAAAAGGGTGCTAACGACTCACAGCTGTACGCTTCCGTGCGTATACCTATAAGATTGAGTCAACCGTACTTCCATATCCTCTCCATCTTCTCTCTCTCTCTCTCTCTCTCTCTCTCTCTCTCTCTCTCTCTCTCTCTCTCTCTCTCGCTAAAATAATCAGGGTTGGGCGTAATAATATATTTTTCTTTGAAACCTAGAATAGTATAAATTACGTTAAAACGCGATACTTTACGAGATATTAATTATTAATAATTGTCCGTGGGCGCTATATACCGTGTTCGTAAACGTGATTTGCAAGAGTAAACGTATTAGGCAAAAAAAGAAACAAATTTTTTCGTATTAATTATTAAAATTATTTGCGTAGGTATTTTTAAACCAAAAAAACTGTAGGAAAAATACCGATCCGCTTTTCAATAGACTAACAAAAGTTATTTTAACACAGCATAATATAAAAGCTTTTATTTGTACATAATAAAATTATATTGGTGTCATCTTAGATATAATTATGTAAACATGATACCAAATTTGATAACAAATTTCATTTGTTTTTAAAAATCCCGATATTTCATCGAATAAGTTTGATTCGCATACCGTTCATATGTCGAAACATTTTTTTTACTGTTGCTTTAAACGAATGATTTCAATAATTATGTCAAAATATAGTTTCAGCCGATACATTTACCACTAATTAACTTAATTATTTATTTATGATGAAACTATGAAAAAAGGAAAAAAGCAAAGTTTGAACGCTAACATCTACAATAAATACATTAGTAATAAATCAAAAGTCAGAAGCTAGAAATCAATCAGTTATAGTCGATTATTATTTTCACATTCGAAGGTGATTGGTGAATTTCTAGCATCTGACTTTTGGTTTATTATTGATGTAGTTTTTATAGAATGTACCGGGTATGTAAATATGAAACCGGAATTTTTTAATAAAAAATACACGTTCATTGCATGAAAATGATAAAATATATTTTAATCGAAGTATTGCCCATCGTTAGCTATACATTTTTCCCACCTGTCTGACAATTTGTGGATGCCACGCCAAAAAAATTGTTGCTCTTTT